TGGTGAGCTTTCTATCTTGGAGGCTCAGGCTGTTCTTTTCAGGAAATTTATAAAAAGGTAATTTGAGACACCTGGGGATTTGGCCATGCATTGGACTAACACATTAGGATGCTGTCGTATCTATATTTATTCTGAGGCACAGTTATGGCATGATAAATCTCACAGTGATGTGAGACCATGGGAGAGGCTTTTACGACCAACAGTGTGCCTGGAATTAAGATGTGCAGCGAGGCCCAACCATATAAAATCCCAACCCTTGATCCATACAGATTCTCTTCATTTGAATGTAATTTCTCTGTGTGATGTGTCACTGCATGGTGAATTGTAATTCACCTCTCAGATGACGGTCCTGCTCCACAGGCTGGCGCTTGGTTTCTAAGAAAAGCTGCTTCAGAAGAAAGGTGACTGGTGGATCAGCAAAGTTGGAATTCATAAGTAATCAGGTCTGCAACGCTGGTCCCATCAGCTGAACAGAGTTAAACAAACCCAGGGAAAATGAGCCGCTTACATAACTGGACTGTCACCAATAGTAACGGGCCGCTTCCACAGTCCAAAAATATCTCCTAGATGATTAATTCACGGAGTAGCGCTGGCGGGCAGCGGGTAGCATGGGCGAGGGCGCTCGGAGCGGTGCAGGCAGCCCCAGCCACCAATTGGAACCCCTTAATTACAAATTGGTTGTGTGAGCCAGATGCCCAGGTTTTATATAAGCCCCTCAACGGCATGGATGATTCACAAAAACCTGAGGAGGGGGTCATTGACCTGTTGAACACAACCTGGCCCCGACTCCCCGGAGAGCCTGGCTCCAATACTCCTCAGAGAGCCTGGCTCCAATACTCCCCAGAGAGCCTACCTCCAATACTCCCCAGAGAGCCTACCTCCAATACTCCCCAGAGAGCCTGCCTCCATTACTCCTCAGAGAGCCTGCCTCCATTACTTGGAGGATAAATCAATAGCAGGAGGGTAAATATAGACTTGTCGCTTCCAGGGAAGAGGAGCGGTTTTGGCGCTCCTTAAATAGCCATGAAAAAATTGGACCCTGACCATGATCCAATGTCTAGCTGCTTCTCCTAATGGACATTAACTATTTTCCTCCATGCTATATGTTTGCCATATATCTTTATAGCATGGTCACAGCAGTGGTAAAAAATACATTGAGGAAATTATCTATATTGTGTGTCTCTTTATGTGTTTTTTGAAACATCAGGCTTGTTTGTATTGTGTAGTGTCAGTGCATTGCTATCTGGCTTTGGCCTCCAGTCATTAATGAAGGAAATACTTCAGTATAAATGTAATGATATCTCCAGATCATCCAGCCAGACATATCCAGATAGCCTTTCTATTCCATTTACACTGTTTGTCAAAGGGATAATGGGTCCAGAAGCACAAAGGCTGAGCAGGTCCCATAACTGTGGATAACAGTAAATCATGGTCTGGCTTGAACCATTATGCCGGCAGCCACAGCGCTGTCTGTAAACATAAAAAACAACGCTTTGTTGGTATGCATTCTATCCAATTACCCATATGAACTACCAATATCGTTGATATAAAATGTTTTGGCAGTTACCCAACAGTAGCTCGATGTGCTGTTAATGATTTTGACCAGGATACACTACATGACCAAACGTATGTGGACACCTGCTTGTCGAACATCTCATTCCAAAATCATAGGCGTTACAGTTTTTTCTCGATTGCTACGACACATTTCTGAAAGACACATTTTCTTGAAAGCTGAACACTAAACCCAATTTTCTCTTAACTGTTTTTTTAACTTTTCAAAAATCGTTTCTTGCCCCCCCCCCCCAAAACAGCCCCCCCCAAAAAGGCAAAAATTAAAACAAAAAAAAAACCATGAAAGTATAAAAGAAAAAGAAAAAACCAATCCGGAAGAAACGGAAAATAAATTTTTTTTCCTTACTAAATCTGGCCAAAAAAAAACCCCGGTTTCACTTTTCAAAAACAAAAAAAATCTTCATTTAAAGGCCTTTTTCAAAAAAGTCTTAGGGTTTTACTTGTTCTAACCCTTTGTCAAAATTAAAATAAATCTTTCTGCCAAAACAGTTGTCTCAGGGCCCCAGGTTTTCCCCCAAAAAAACCCCTTTTGCGGCCACAACGGGGGAAAAAAAAACCCCATCTTCCCGGTTAGCCCCCAAATATGTCCCCCGGCCCAAAAGGGTTTTAAAACCCCCGGGGATTGGGTTCTTACCCCACCCCAAGGGGAAAAATTTCCCCAATTTTTAAAAAAAAAAATCGTAGCTGCCTTGGGTTTATATTTTTAAAAAAAAACCCCCTTTTAAACCAGGGCTCTTTGAAAAAACCCCATGTCCCAAAAAACCCCAAAAAATCCCACCCCCCCACTCTGCAGGAAGGGAAAAAATGGTGGTTTGGGGGGCCCCCGGTTGCAAGGGGAACCCCCTTTTGCGATTTACCTTGTATTGCCCCAAGCTTTTCCCGGAAAAAAAATCCGGGGAAAAATTGGCCCCCTTTTTGGTTAATTTTAAAACCCCTCCTCCATGAGGTTTTGAAAGGGGGCCCCACACCCGTTTAAAAAAAACCCCCCCTGTAAAAAGTTTTGAAGGAAGGGGAAAAAAAGGGGTTGGATAAAACCCCCTCTTAGGTTCAACCCAATGTCTGGGAACCCAACCGAATTGGACTTTGCCTTTTCCCCGGACATCCCAAAAGGCATTCCATCGTTTTTCCCTTGGTTTGGTTAAACCCCATCCTTTGAGGGTTTTTGGTTTTACCCCCAAAAGTAAAAAACCCAATGATCTTCTGCTGAATTTCGCTCAGTTTAATGGCATTGTTCTCACGGACCATATCAACAATTAGGGGTCTCTTGGTGTGGGGAGAACATACCTGTCCTCCCACCCCCATGTGGCAGTCTTTCAATTCTACAAAAAGAGAACATGGAGTTACAAAAAATATACATGGAATACTAGGCCTACAAACAGTTAGACCAACCCTCCATACAATACTACAGTACATTGGTACAGTGATGTACTGAAACATATATTTACTTACAGTATACTGTGGTACAGTATATAGTATGTCATACAGTAATTGCTGTCAACATTTACATACTGTACTATAATGTCAAATAAAAGTAATTACCTGTTCTCTTCTCTAAATCTTCGGATTATGGTGGACACAGTGAATCTACTGATGTTTGGTTGTACCCTTTGTCCAGCCTCCCTCATGCGCATACCATGGACAAGAACATGGTCAATCACAGTAGCTCTGATTTAATCAGATATTACTGTTCTTTGTTTCGCTGACCACCTCGACCACCTCGACCTCCTCTCGCACGAAACTCTTCCTCTCAGATTTCTATCCATTGTAGGGCCTCACAAACCAGTGCTCTCTGAACTGGCTTACTGTATATGTTCCCTCACATCATTAGCCACAAGTGTGATCAATTTTGAGTTGTTGTGTTCAAGTGGTGACACCTGTGCTCTAATTGTGTTTGACTTTTGTCACCTGTGCTCACCATTATGCAGCACGGGTGCATCACAATGAAAATGTGTTGGCAAGTTATGTCTAAACAGGTGAAAAGTGCTTATGGTTTTGCCAAAAGAGTGATTGATTCAATCAGTGTGTTCAGGCAACTGAGCATTTGGTTCAGACAATAGGGTTTAGTGTTTTAGCAAATGAGAAAAACTGTAATATGGAGTTGGTCCCCCACCCTTTGCTGCTATAACAGCCTCCACTCTTCTGGGAAGGCTTTCCACTAGATGTTGGAACATTGCTGTGAGGACTTGCTTCCATTCAGCCACAAGAGCATTAGTGAGGTTGGGCACTGATGTTGGGTGATTAGGCCTGCCTCGCAGTCGGCATTCCAATTCATCCCAAAGGTGTTCAATGGGATTGTCAAGTTCTTCCACACCGATCTCGACAAACCATTTCTGTATGGACCTCCCTTTGTGCACGGAGGCATTGTCATGCTGAAACAGGAAAGGGCCTTCCTCAAATTGTTGCCACAAAGTTGGAAGCACAGAATCATCTAGAATGTCATTGTATGCTGTAGCGTTAAGATTTCCCTTCACTGGAACTAAGGGGCCTAGCCCGAACCATGAAAAATAGTCCAATGGCAGCAAGCTTTACACCACTCCAGGTGACGCTTGGCATTGTGCATGGTGATCTTAGGCTTGTGTGCGGCTGCTCGGCCATGGAAACCCATTTCATGAAGCTCCCGATGAACAGTTCTTGTGCTGACGTTGCTTGCAGAGGCAGTTTGGAACTTGGTAGTGAGTGTTGCAACCGAGGACAGACGATTTATATGCGCTGCGAGCTTCAGCCTTCAGCGGTCCCGTTCTGTGAGCTTGTGTGTCCTACCACTTCGCGGCTGAGCCGTTGTTTCTCCTAGACGTTTCCACTTCACAATAACATCACTTACAGTTGACCGGGGTAAATCTAGCAGGGCAGAAATTTGACGAACTGACTTGTTGGAAAGGTGGCATCCTATGACGGTGCCACGTTGAAAGCCACTGAGCTCTTCCGTAAGGCCTTTCTACTGTCAATGTTTGTCTATGGACATTGCATGACTATGTGCTCAATTTTATACACCTGTCAGCAACCGGTGTGGCTGAAATAGCCAAATCCACTAATTTGAAGAGGTGTCCACATACCTTTGTATATATAGAGTATATTTCAATGCAGACACTCTCTCTGTCTCGGCATGTCAAAATCATTCATGTCATGTAAAGCACAGAGCAGTACAGATCGGACAGGTAGAGTTGCTATGTAACCAGCTGCAGAGTACACACTTCATTAGCACCAGAGTGCACACTCCATCATAATCTCATGATCTTCATATAAGGCACCAGACACCATGTAGCCAACCACCAATGAGTGACAGCACCACTCTAGGGTTGGAGTCCATTTAGGAAGAAGTTTGAAATTTGAAATTCAGTTAATTAATTAATGGAAATGGGAAGATTTTCAATTCATACACTTCAATTCACTTCCTGAATTGACTGCATTCAAAATGGACCTTCCCCCACCTGAGTCCCACTCACCCCCCTGATGGCGACCAGTATCCTGCTGTAGGAGTAGACCATGATCATGAGGGGCAGCAGCAGGCAAAAGATGAACAGGCAAACCACATAGGAGACACTGGCCGGAGAGCGCTGGGTCCACTGGACAGAGCAGGAGGTCCCGGCCCCCTCCGGGCCGTAGCTGCTCCAGCCCATTAAGGGGGGCAGGGTCCACAGCAAAGAATAGAGCCAGGAGCCCCACACAAACAGCCAGGCCTTCCTGAAGTCAGACACAGCAGCCTTGGTGGAGCGCTGCACGGTGGTGTAGCGCTCATAGGACAGAATGGACAGAGACACCAGGGACACGATCCCTAGGAGGGACAGAGAGGGAAGGAGAGAGGGAGAGAGAGAGGGTGAGAGAGAGAGAGAGAGAGAGAGAGAGAGAGAGAGAGAGAGAGAGAGAGAGAGAGAGAGAGAGAGAGAGAGAGAGAGAGAGAGAGAGAGAGAGAGAGAGAGAGAGATGAGGTTATCAGGGTGTCATGGGGTGTCTGGTGTTGTTATAACAGAAGCCAGTTATGACAGTTTTTTCACCAGTTTGAGAATTCAGATGCTAAAGAGAATAGGATAAGGTTACATAACAATCATTAGCTCGGCTTTGCCCTATACAGGTAACATTTAGTAAACCCAAGAGAGAGCTGGCCTGTATGGTGCAGTATTATATTCCTACACATCGAAGTCAGACCACTGCAAGTTGGCTTTTAGTGCTGTTGTGTCCAAAGAGAACCAGGTGATTTAAAAGGCTTGTCTTGCAAGTGTCTTTTATTATTTTCAGCCGAGGCCGGGGATAAGCACAGGACTTTTCATCAGATGAAGCACTCAGTGGAGTAAGATCAAACATAAGGCACTTGTAGGAACTGCTAAATGACGTAAATGTAAAATGTATACAAATCTATACTGTGTGTGTGTGTGTGTGTGTGTGTGTGTGTGTGTGTGTGTGTGTGTGTGTGTGTGTGTGTGTGTGTGTGTGTGTGTGTGGACGTGCCTGTCTACCTGTCTGTCAGTGTGTGAGTGGGACGTGTGTGTGTGTTTGTCTATAGCTGAGGGAAAAATAGGTTTATGTCTTCATTATGCCAGTCTGTCTCAGAGTACTAGCCTGACATTCTAGGAAGTGGGATTCATTATTGAATTTACAGTGTGTCCTCTCAGGAGGTGAGAGCTTGCTAAAAGTTTCTGCCTGTGCAACAAGTGAAAGGCAATGAAAGAAAAAAGTTTGCCCAACTTAATTTAGTCTTCCTAAGTGCTCAGAGTACTTCTAGACTTTGTGAGTTGTGAATGAATGCCATCCTTAATTAGCGGTTGCTGGCTGTTATGAAGAATGACAGCATATAGAGCCTTCAGGAAGCACACAGAGTAAAATAGGGCATTGATTAGAGAAATTGTTCAGGGCCTGTGTGACGTGCCCACTCCTCCCCTCCAAGAGTGTTTACAGGTCTGGTTGAGCTGTCTAGGGAGCGGGGGTGTGCGTGCATGCGTACGTGTGTATGTGTGTGTGTGTGTGTGCTTGTGTGTTTGTGTGTGTGTGGTTGTGTGTGTGCGTACAAGTGTGTGTGTGTGTGTGTGTGTGTGTGTGTGTGTGTGTGTGTGTGTGTGCACGAGTGTGTGTGTGTGTGTGCACGAGTGTGTGTGTGTGTGTGCACGAGTGCATGCGTGGGTGCTTGTGTGGTTGTGTGTCATGCATGTGTGTGTGTGACTGCCCTCCTGCGTGGCTTCAAAGGGAAGGGGAACAGGGGAGTCTGCCCTAATTATTGAGCTTTAAAGATATCCAACAGCCAAATGTCACAGCATTGGACTAATAGCCTGCTTTGACAATTTATTTATTTGCCAAGCTCATTAGAAATGATAGGTATTTTTGTACACTTTAATCAGAAACATGAATGACTCCATCCTCCATCAACGTAATGAACTGCATTTGTCAAACGTCCACAGCTCATAATTCAATCTACTTTGGTTATCACAAAGATCCAGAGACATGCAAGGAGAGATGACAGATGAGAGGAGAGGTGTACATGTGTATATAAGATCAGCTACAGTTTGTATGAGTGGCTGATCAGAAAGGCTACTGTAGGCTTTGTTCTGCTCTGTGTTGAATGGGATGTCTCATTATGGGGTAAATGAATACATTAGAATAGCCTACATGCTTAATATTTTCAAGGTCCTAAGCAAAGGTCCTACATTTACTATGTCAAGCTTCCCAGTCAAGTGCAAATTGAAACTTATTCACACACAGAAACGAATCAATTTTGGCATAAAGGTTGGATGTAAATGTCTCTTGCTCCTGCTAAAGATTTATGCAATAGTTTTTCATTAGTGTTCCACTATTTCCACATTCAGATGTAGGTTAATGAAAATGTTACAGGCACAGGGAGGAATAAAGTACCATAAATTGATGATGAATTGTGCTCTGACACTTTTCATAATGAGCCTGGAGGACTTATTTAAGAATTTATCAAGCAGTAATGATCTGAAGGATTTGCATTACTTTTTTACAGTCGATATTTGTCTGATAGTAAAGTAGCCTAGGCTATAAAATCGTAGGCTAAGAAACTCTTATATGCAAAATATTTGTTTTATTTGTCACATTGAGGTAAGCCTACAGTGTAGGCTCCATGGCTTTCGCTGCCTGTTGAAATATTAGAAAAACTCACCGAAAAGCGAATTGGCGAAGCCATACCACTTGCAACCATGGTGTCCAATGAGCCATCTCCCCTGTAGACTTGCCGCGAAACTGAATGGAGTTCCAAAAATACACACGAGGATGTCGCTCACGTTGATGTTCAGAAGGATGAGGTTGATGGGCGTCCAAAGCGACCGAAACTTTGCAAAGATAAGCAGGACAAGAAGGTTGTTGAGGAATCCCAGGACCAAAATGAGCCCAAGACATACTGCCACCACCGTGTGGCCATGCCTGCTCAGGCCGAGGGGGTCCTGGGGCACCAAGGTGTCCCGAACACTGGCATTGGTGCTTAGGTTGGAAGCGGAGCTTTCGGAGGTGCTGAAATTCAGAGCTCTTATGTGGACAACCATAGCACCCTAGTGCACGCGGGGGTGACTTGCAACACGAGGAGTCGACGCGCTCTCACTCATTCAAACTCGCGCACAGCACAGAACACATGCTCACCAACAGTCTCGGTCACAAAGAAAGACATGCAGATCTCCCATTTATTCTCTCCCCTTATAACCCAGCTAGCACATAACGTTCTGACAACCATATGTTTCTTAGAGCTTGGTGAGAGCGTGGTTGTCCTATGGTTATTTTGCATACAACCTTACCACAACTTCCTGGGAATGGTCCAGGATAGTTACTTGGCTTTGGAACATTCTCAGCACATTTTAGAAATTTGACAAAAAAACATTATTTCAGAGAACGTTCTAAAATGTTTAAAAACATACATTCCTTTCTCAGAAGGTGAATTAAAAAAAATAAAAATAAAAAAACTGAACGCTCTAAGAATGTTATTTAAAAGGCTGTGGCTGTGAATACAGAGTTTTCGCCCAGGCCCGCACTGTCCTGAACCCTCCCGCCCCTCTGGAAATCTCTTTCTCAAAGCTAAGAATCCAGGTCACGTTCTGCGCTCTGTTATTTTACGCACACTACTTAGCTACTGCTCACACTCCCCCTCCCTTAATGTTTATCTCTTTACTCACCCTCTTCTGAACCATGGTGTTGTAGCCTATGTCTGCCTCATATTTCGGAACAGCTGAATTAAAAAAAACCTGCGGTGATTTTAACAAACAAAAATATATATTGAAAGCTATACAACCTTCTCTGTCTGTTGTAACACATATTGCAGTTACACAATCAGTACTCAGTCCCTACACATTGCATTGGAGCAAAAACAATGAGTGTTTTGTGTGATGATGTATGTTGGCTAATCTATATAGTTGCTGAGATATCGTAGCCACTAGCCAGAGCTCCTGAAAAAAAGAACACTACTATTTTGACTGTCTGTCTGCCTCCTGCTTAGCCAATGTTTGGAATGATGATGGAAAAATAACATTACATTGCTAATAAGACTGAGTGTGTATGTTTTGCTTGTGTTTGATATGCTGCCTAGATAGCTGCATGTACAGTGCATTCGGAAAGTATTCAGACCCCTTCCCTTTTTCCACATTTTGTTACGTTACAGCCTTGTTCTAAAATGGATTGAATTAAAAATGTTCCTCATCAATCTACACACAATACCCCATTATGACGAAGCAAAAACAGGTTTTTAGAAATGTTTGCTAATTTATTAAAAATAAAAAACAGAAAAACCTTATTTACATAAGTATTCAGACCCTTTGCTATGAGACTCGAAATTGATCTCAGGTGCATCCTCTTTCCATTGATCATCCATGAGATGTTTCTACAACTTGATTGGAGTCCGCCTGTGGTACATTCAATTGATTGGACCTGATTTGGAAAGGCACACACCTGTCAATACAAGGTCCCACAGTTGATAGTGCATGTCAGAGCAAAAACCAAGCCATGAGGTCGAAAGAATTGTCCATAGAGCTCCGAGACAGGATTGTGTCGAGGCACAGATCTGGGAAAGGGTACCAAGAAATGTCTGCAGCATTGAAGGTCCCCAAGAACACAGTGGCCTCCATCATTCTTAAATGGAAGAAGTTTGGAACCACCAAGACTCTTAAAAATAATAAATAATAATTGGTCATTTAGCAGACGCTCTTATCCAGAGCGACTTACAGGAGCAATTAGGGTTAAGTGCCTTGCTCAAGGGCACATCGACAGATGTTTCACCTAGTGGGCTCGGGGATTAGAACCAGCGACCTTTCGGTTACTGGCACAATGCTCTTAACCACTAAGCTACCTGCCGCCCACAATGCTCTTAACCACTAAGCTACCTGCCGCCTCTTCCTAGAGCTGGCCGCCCGGCCAAACTGAGCAATCGGGGGAGAAGGGCCTTGGTCAGGGAGGTGACCAAGAACCCGATGGTCACTCTGACAGAGCTCCAGAGTTCCTCTGTGGAGATGGGAGAACCTTCCAGAAGGACAACCATCTCTGCAGCACTCAACCAATCAGGCCTTTATGGCAGAGTGGCCAGACGGAAGCCACTCCTCAGTAAAAGGCACATGACAGCTCGCTTGGAGTTTGCCAAAATGCACCTAAAGGACTCTCAAACCATGAGAAACAAGATTCTCTGGTCTGATGAAACCAAGATTGAACTCTTTGGCCTGAATGCCAAGTGTCACGTCTAGAGGAAACCTGGTACCATCCCTACGGTGAAGCATGATGGTGGCAGCATCATGCTGTGGGGATGTTTTTCAGCGGCAGGGACTGGGAGACTAGTCTGGATCGAGGCAAAGATGAAAGCAAAGTACAGAGATCCTTGATGAAAACCTGCTCCAGAGCACTCAGGACCTCAGACTGGAGCAAAGGTTCACCTTCCAACAGTACAACGACCCTAAGCACACAGCCAAGACAACGCAGGAATGGCTTCGGGACCAGTCTCTGAATGTCCATAAGTGGCCCAGCCAGAGCCCAGACTTGAACCTGATCGAACATCTCAGGAGAGACCTGAAAATAGTTGTGGAGCGACGCTCCCCATCCAACCTGACAGAGCTTGAGAGGATCTGCAGAGAAGAATGGTAGAAACTCCCCAAATACAGGTGTGCCAAGCTTGCACCGTCATACCCAAGAAGACTCTAGGCTGTAATCGCTGCCAAAGGTGCTACAACAAAGTACTGAGTAAAGGGTCTGAATACTTACCCTACCAGTCAAACGTTTGGACACACCGACTCATTCAAGGGTTTTTCTTTATTTTTTATTATTTTTTACTTTGTAGAATAATAGTGAAGACATCAAAACTATGAAATAACACATATGGAATCATGTAGTAACCAAAAAAGTGTTAAACAAATCAAAATATTTTTTTATATTTGAGATTCTTCAAATAGCCACCCTTTGCCTTGATGACAGCTTTGCACACTCTTGGCATTCTCTCAACCAGCTTCATGAAGTAGTCACCTAGAATGCATTTTAATTAATAGGTATACTTTCTTAAAAGTTAAATTGTGGAATTTATTTCCTTCTTAATGCGTTTGAGCCAATCAGTTGTGCTGTGACAAGGTAGATTGCCCTATTTGGTAAAAGACCAAGTCCATATTATGGCAAGAACAGCTCAAATAAGCAAAGAGAAATTTACATTTTACATTTTAGTCATTTAGCAGACGCTCTTAACCAGAGCGACTTACAGGAGCAATTAGGGTTAAGTGCCTTGCTCAAGGGCACATTAACGTCATTTAGCAGACGCTCTTAGCCAGAGCGACTCACAAATTGGTGCGTTCACCCTATAGCCAGTGGGATAACCACTTTACAATTTGGGGGGGGGGGGGGGGGGTTTAGAAGGAATACTTTAGCCTATCCCAGGTATTCCTTAAAGAGGTGGGGTTTCAAATGTCTCCGGAAGGTGGTGAGTGACTCCGCTGTCCTGGCGTCGTGAGGGAGCTTGTTCCACCATTGGGGTGCCAGAGCAGCGAACAGTTTTGACTGGGCTGAGCGGGAGCTGTGCTTCCGCAGAGGAAGGGGAGCCAGCAGGCCAGAGGTGGATGAACGCAATGTCCTCGTTTGGGTGTAGGGACTGATCAGAGCCTGAAGGTACAGGGGTGCCGTTCCCCTCACTGCTCCAAAGGCAAGCACCATGGTCTTGTAGCGGATGCGAGCTTCAATTGGAAGCCAGTGGAGTGTGCGGAGGAGGGGGGGTGACGTGAGAGAACTTGGGAAGGTTGAACACCAGACGGGCTGCGGCATTCTGGATGAGTTGTAGGGGTTTAATGGCACAGGCAGGGAGCCCAGCCAACAGCGAGTTGCAGTAGTCCAGACGGGAGATGACAAGTGCCTGGACCAGGACCTGCGCCGCTTCCTGTGTAAGGCAGGGTCGCACTCTCCGAATGTTGTAGAGCATGAACCTGCAGGAGCGGGTCACCGCCTTGATGTTGGCGGAGAACGACAGGGTGTTGTCCAGGGTCACGCCTAGGCTCTTCGCACTCTGGGAGGAGGACACAGCGGAGTTGTCTACCGTGATGGCGAGATCATGGAACGGGCAGTCCTTCCCCGGGAGGAAGAGCAGCTCCGTCTTGCCAGGGTTCAGCTTGAGGTGGTGATCCGTCATCCATACTGATATGTCTGCCAGACATGCAGAGATGCGATTCGCCACCTGGTTATCAGAAGGGGGAAAGGAGAAGATTAGTTGTGTATCGTCAGCGTAGCAATGATAGGAAAGGCCATGTGAGGATATGACAGAGCCAAGTGACTTGGTGTATAGGGAGAAAAGGAGAGGGCCCAAAACCGATCCCTGGGGGACACCAGTGGTGAGAGCACGTGGTGCGGAGACAGCTTCCCGCCACGCCACTTGGTAGGAGCGACCGGTCAGGTAGGACGCAATCCAGGAGTGAGCCGCGCCGGAGATGCCCATTTCGGAGAGGGTGGAGAGGAGGATCTGATGGTTCACAGTATCAAAGGCAGCAGACAGGTCTAGAAGGACAAGAGCAGAGGAGAGAGAGTTAGCTTTAGCAGTGCGGAGAGTCTCTGTGACACAGAGAAGAGCAGTCTCAGTTGAATGACCAGTCCTGAAACCTGATTGGTTTGGATCAAGAAGGTCATTCTGAGAGAGATAGCAAGAGAGTTGGCTAAAGACGGCACGCTCAATAGTTTTGGAAAGAAAAGAAAGAAGGGATACTGGTCTGTAGTTGTTGACATCAGTGGGGTCGAGTGTTGGTTTTTTGAGAAGGGGAGTAACTCTCGCTCTCTTGAAGACGGAAGGGACATGGCCAGCGGTCAAGGATGAGTTGATCAGCGAGGTGAGGTAGGGGAGAAGGTCACCGGAGATGGTCTGGAGAAGGGAGGAGGGGATGGGGTCAAGCGGGCAGGTTGTTGGGCGGCCTGCAGTCACAAGTCGCAGGATCTTATCTGGAGAGAGAGGGGAGAAAGAAGTCAAAGCATAGGGTAGGGCAGTGTGAGCAGGACCAGCAGTGTCATTAGACTTAACAAACAAGGATCGGATGTCGTCAACCTTCTTTTCAAA